AGAATGAGCTGTGGGTGATCACCCCCTTCATGGCCTATGGTAAGGCAGGCCCACCGGGTCATAGGTCGTAGGTCACCAGGTGGCCCAAACAGCCTTCGAATGGTCCTTTTGGTTACGGAGTGATGCCACCGGTACAGTGAAAAATGTTCATTTGATATTGTTTCAGTAGGTTTGCTTACAGGTATGAGTTTCACTCATTTCTCAATTTATGGGTATTTGCCTGGGTAAAATATACATTTTTTGCAAACTCCAGCCTGGCTCTTCCCTGCTCTTCACTGAAGGGCTTCTTCCTTGCTTGTGGGTCTTCAGTCCTGCTTCTAGGAGCCCTTCTCTCTTCCTCCCTCTACCTGACTGGTTCCTGGTCATTCCCAGTGTCTCCAGCTTCGCCTTGTTCTTGTGTGCTGCTGTCTTAGTAACTTTGAGCCTGGAAGCAGCCTGACGCGCAGTGTAGCCTCTGCCAGCAGAACCAGGATTAAACCAGGATTTAAGAATGCAGATTTTTTTTTAAATATCGAGTGGTCTCTTCATTTTTTTCTCCCCAGAGTTGTATGTTGTGAGGCTCCTGTCTTGATTGCTAATAGTGACCCAATAAAGTGAAAGACCAGGAATTTAGAGCAGTTAGCATATTTGCTGACCCAAGCATCATCCATGCAGAAGGATTCCTATAATCGGGGATCGTCAGTGTCCGTGCGCAGACAAAGATGTTTGTAGCAAAATATTTCCATTGAGGGGGGAAAAAGGTTTTAAATACCATGTTTGTGGTAAAAATTGCATTTTGATGAAAATGTCTGTCAGAATTCAGCATGATGTCGACCCCCTGCCCATAATGGAAGTCTCAGAAGTAATGGACCACCAGTGACTAGCACACAGATCCGATTGAAAGTCGCTCCCTGCCCTGTCACCACAGGTTCAGCACGAGATCTGATCAGCAACCACTTCACGGAGGGCATGAGCGAGCAGGCCATAGCCTACATCTTACTGGGCGTCCTTAGGGCACTGGACTACATCCACCACATGGGATACGTGCACCGGTGAGCCACTGGGGGGCGTCCTCTCTGTCTGGATGGGGTTAAATGGTCTCGATAAGCGGGCAGAATTTGCTGAGTGGTTTGATAGTATAAATATGCACAGGCACAATCATTCAAGCATGATGCGACCTGAAATGTAGGCGGAGTATCTCGGCATCGGCACCTGGTGGATACTGTCAGCCTCAGTGTCAGTGTTTCCTCCCCCCCCCCCACTTTTCCCGGCCCCCCGTGCCTCAGGAGCGTGAAGGCCAGCCACGTGCTGGTGTCCGCAGACGGTCAAGTCTACCTGTCCGGCCTGCGCAGCATCTTCAGCCTGATCCGGCACGGGCAGCGGGCGCGTGTCGTGCACGACTTCCCCCAGTACAGCGTCAAGGTGTTGCCCTGGCTCAGCCCGGAGGTCCTGCAGCAGGTAGGCCTGCTAGATGCCTGCATAAAAACACTCACAGACACTCCTCTACTTACGAACTTTCTACTTACGAACTTTCAGAAATACGAAGGAAGAGGACTGTAAGTCCAAATTGTGTTAGTTGGGCTCCCGTTTCCTGTCCGCAGCAACAATTTTTTTTTTTTTCTGCGCACCAATTCCGTCTAGTATGACTTCTGGCCGCTACTCCCGCCGCACAGCAGCGTAGCGTGCGAACTCCCGGCTTCCTAGTCCTTTGTACTTGTGTACACCCTTAAAATGATGTTGAATTACGACTTACGAACATTTCAAGTTACAAACGGCCGTTCGGAACGCATCTCGTTCGTAAGTAGAGGAGCGTCTGTACTGACATACGGAAATACTATGGGTGAATCTCAATATGCGTACTTGACCATACTTGTGTTCTCGTGTACTCGTTTTACGCCATATTCTATTGCTGAAGACCAGTTCCAGTACTAAGATCACAAGTACAAAGGACGGTAAAAATCCCTGGATGTTGGTCTTACTCCTCCCCAAATATGTAGGATTCGTGCATCGACGCCAAACGAAACCGATCCCATGATTCATTGCGCCCCAAGTTCTTTCTTGGAAGGCAAGTGCGCAAGACCGATTTTGCCAAGACCACAAGCACAGTATTTGCATTCTTGGTATTGCGATTCACCCTGACTCTCTAACACAATCCTCACCATACTTAGCACACCCACACTTGGCACTAATTTAAATATGCTGTGCACACACACACACACACACACACACACACACTCATTGCTATGCCTTGCAATCAGAAATGCTAATCTAACGTCGTCTTCCCGCACCCACGGCAGAACCTGCAGGGGTACGACTCCCGCTCCGACATTTACAGCCTGGGCATCACGGCCTGCGAGCTTGCCAACGGGCACGTGCCCTTCAAGGACATGCCAGCCACGCAGGTGAGCCGTGAGCATTGGCCCAATGCCATGGTCATGCCCCCCCCCCCATATCTGCTGGTGCCAGCTGGAGCCTCATGGTATCCAGTGGCGCTATCTTCAGTAGGCTTTAAAATTGTTTGAATGCTGGTGGTCTTTTGCCCCCCGTCTCTGGTGGAACTCTGTGTCTATGATTTGAAATGCTTTGTTCGCTATGTGCGCAAGTACGAATACGGGAACGTTAGAATGCCTATTCTCCCATATCCCATCATGCTCTCCTTTGAGACCCACACCCACGTATACAGTTGAGAATGAAGCCTGGGATGCAAGTGCAGTGGTAGGTCGTTTATTTGGCACTCCTGGAGCTTTCTGAGGGGGGGGGGACCCTCGCTCAAGGGATGAGCAGACGGGACTATTCTGTCGAACCCGCGACCTTCTGATCACAGGCACAGACTCTGCCCATTTAACTGACGTGATGGACCCAAACTGTCCTAGAATTAATGAAAAATGAAAGCCGTGTGATAGTCTAATGTAAAAATATATATTTTGTTATGTAGGTGTAATCCTTGCCTCCTTATAAATCCATCCATTTTCAGTATCTAATTGTCTAGTCATGCTGAACCTCTGCAGTGTCGTTTCTGAGATATGATCCAAACCCAAATTAAAGGATCCCCAATGATCTCACCCCCCCACCCCGGCTCAGATGCTGTTGGAGAAGCTGAACGGTACCGTCCCCTGCCTGCTGGACACCAGCACCATCCCCCCCGAGGAGCTCAGCATGAAGCCATCCCGCTCAGGTGCCGACTCGGGCATCTGCGAGGGTCCCGGGGCCCGGCACGCCAACGGGGAGCCCTCCTCCTCCTCCTCGGGGGCCCATCCCTACAACCGCACCTTCAGCCCCCACTTCCACGGCTTCGTCGAGCTGTGTCTACAGCGGGATCCTGCCAAACGGTGCCACTTCCATCTTAAAAATGCTGTAAAAAAAAACTGCATCCTTAGGCCCAGAATGGAGCGTCACAGCCCATCCGTCTTATGTGGTGTAAACTTGTAAATATATCATATTCCAGTCACTAAATAAGTAAATGTTTGCTTACACGGAAAATAAACACTGTGATATGTCGCTAAAGTGTATGAGATGTTCATGTTTGCGATGGTCACAGATACTGGAAGCGTGACTGAGTGGATGGTGCCATCGTACGGCATATCGCCAGCTTGGGAACGTATGAATTCTAAAAGTCTGACTGCTGAATTTGCGTCATCGCAACAGTCCGAAGTTTAAATACTTTTAAGTTGAACTGTTGTAAAGCGAGGAGCATCTGCATATTGCCAGTAGAGCTGGGTAATTCAGGTCCAGAGAGTAAAAATCCAGACCAGGATTTTGGTTCAACCAACCAGTTGAGCATAAAGAGTCATAGTTGAAGTGCTGCACTAGTTGGTTGAAACAAAATCCCGGTCTGGAGTTTTACTCTCTGGACCTGAATTATCAGATACAAATGCAGAACCTGAGTTGTCTTTCTCCTCCCTGCAGGCCCTCTGCTAGTGCCCTTGTTGGCCACTCCTTCTTCAAGCAGGTCAGTGGAACTTTCTGATTGGTCCATTCTGCTGCCTTTAATAGATTGGCTTCAGTTATTCCTATCGACCAGTTGCCGTTGTATTACCCGCGGTAGTCGGAGACGGAGCCTCTCGCTGGACCGCATGCAGGTTCCTGTCCCTAACCGCTGATCCTAATCCTCTCCCGCGCTCTCAGATTAAGCATCGCCCCTCCGAGTCGCTCCTCGAGCTGCTCCAGCCCGTGATGCCCATCGGTAGCGTCGACAGTGCCCAGTCGGCTGACTCCCCACCCGGCTTTGCCAGCCTGGAGACCAGCCTCAGCCACCTAGACGTGGACGACTGGGATTTCTGACAACAGGGGCGATTTCCTTCTCCGTTTGTTTTTTCTTTTCTTTTAAATAAGGAAAAAGCTCCGGACTTTCAGACACGCTAAGGGCTTCTCCCTCTGTCCGTCCGGAGGCCGCCGTGGGATGTACTGCTCTACCAGCTCTAACCTTCAGGTCTGCCAGTGTCCTCTGAGGCTGGACACAGCAGTGAACTCGCTGAGGTCTGGCATCGTACCGCCTACCCCAAACCGAGAGCAGTGAGAAGTCTCCTCGTGTCAAAGTCCTGTCACAGTGTCATGTGTTGACTATCTCTTCTCACTTCACTCCTTTGGACTTCATTAAAGGTCCCAGCCAAATTGGGACTTACGTCAGGTGTGTGTGTCGATATTGCACAGTATTTGTTCTGGGGCTGCCTAAGTAAGTCTTAAAATAGAACCTGATTGGACGGCTAAAGGTCGCCGTAGTGAGGGACCTTGGGGAGGGGGGGGATCCTTTCCGTTTGCGGTCTGTTCACAGAATAGCAGTGTGCTTCAACTCTTTCAGCACAAAGTATTCAAACCTCCACATGTTGAAACCCATTTTGAAGGAGACAGTTTGAATAGAGTGTTGGGTACAATGGGATTACATTTCAGAATGAGAACCTGTTTTTTTTTTTTTTTTTTTGCCTTGTTGAAAGTAAAGCTTGTATCTGATTAAAAATGTTGCTGAAATTGCACTGGCCTGTTGAATTGACCCTCAGGGACCACTGAAGAAACATCACTTTTTTTTTTAAAAAAGGCCTTTATTTATAAAAGCAGGATACTGTACAACATGTCTACAGCAGGGGGCGGGGGGCAGTAAAAGCACAAAGCAGGATTTGCTAATCTTCCTCGTCAGATGGTGGCTGGTCCATCTTGGCTTCATGCTTCTGCATTTTGGCCATCAGCTCTGGGTAGGACATGGAGATGGAACATCAGAACATATAACAGGAAAATAACCACAAAACCCCTTCATGGGGGTGGGGCTGCGGTCGGAGTCAATGTCCCATATCGTTTTCTGGGCCACTCGACCTTCATGGAAAACATGAGGTGAAGGAAAAGTCATAAGGATCTTGGGAAGGACGGGCGCGGCCCTAAGAGGGTCCGACGGCACTCAGACGGTCCGACGGCACTCAGACTAAGCTATGCCGTTACGCGACGGCAGATGTTACACGTGTGGGTCCCACTCTGTGCTGCTTTTTTTTGGGCGAGGAATCTAGTTTTACTTAGAGACTCAAGCTTCGTTGAGCTCAGGACTCAATATTTACATGAAATGGACTTTCAGTGCTAAACAGAGTTTCTCATTTATAAAGCAGGGCGTTACTGCACTGCTATTCCCTTCTAGTCATGTAAAGATATACATCACTAGCTCTACTCCCTAAATATCTATATGGAAAGGGGGGGTTATATAAGTGGGTACACTGGTTCCACTACCTTTGGCTGGGTTGAAGACACCATTGGTTTGCACGTTGCAGACGTAGCAGCGCTTGGACTTGCGGTAGTGCTGGAGGGCACAGGCTTCGCAGAAGTAATGACGACATCTGGCAGCAGAGAGATGAGTCAACGCTGCAGTTTAACGGCAAATCTGGCAACCACCTCCACAGCGATCAGCCACCGCATACACAGCGTACTACGATGACTGATCACGGCCCACGCCGCCAGGTCGGCTCAACCTCCCGTAGAAGCAGCTGCGAGACAGTCTTACTTGGTGATGATGGGGTTCTTGAAGGATTCCCGGCAGATGAAGCACTTGAAGGGCAAATCCTCTTCGTCGCTGCTCACTTCGTAATTCTCTTCATCTAGAAGTGCACGGTTTTCCAACACCTCTTAGAACCGAATGCGACCGGCGACATCCCTCCGTAGCTAAATGTCAGAGGCCACAAGCTTCTTAACGCCTCTCAGGTGCTCCGGCTACTTACCGTTGGCGCCGTATCGCCCTTCGTCCAGCTCCCTTTCGATCTGCCAGCCGTGCTTGTAGTCGGAGCGGTCGTGTAGGAATTTGCAGCTGTCTGAAAGAATATGAAAGTGGAAAGGTACTTACATTTCACTGCACATTATCTGACCGCATACCTCGCATGTGACAAATAAAACCCTTGAATCTTAGAGGACAGCAGTGACGCTTTAGATCACGTGTCTAAGCTTGACTTCCAGAGGCAAAAAAATAAAATAAAATCAACCCAAGAAGCTCACTCACCCCCGAAACCACAGAAGCCAGTCTCCTTGTAGTCCTTGCAGATATCTGGCTGGTAATCCCAGCGTACAGTCGCTCTTAAATGCTCCGGAGCACGGATGGGACCCTTTCTGCCATGTGTGAAAACATTAAGAGCAGGCATGTGACCAAGTAATAAGCTTACAGGTCTGAACCCCCAACAGAAGTTCTCAGACCTGGTTAAGAAGGTTGAGATACTAAAAATAAAACTGCCACATCAGCATCTGTATACAACCCCAAAATGTCAGCGAAAGGCACAACAGGAGCACACTAAGATGGCCAGTTTTACAGGGTCACAGATGTTCAGGACTGCACCAGACGTACCTGACCATACCAGAGGATGCGTTTCCCATGGTGGAATCCTTGGGTTTGATGTACTTATGGTAGTTGTTCATACCTCTGTAGATTTTATCATCCTCTTTTCCTGAAAGTTCCTGGCAGAAAACAGCCAAAAATTCACAGCGAAAAATGGGTCAAAATAAAGCAAAAGTGGTGCAAATCACACCGGAAACTTCTGAGCAGTAAGACGGAGATAAGGAGCGCACACTGATACAGCGCGTCGCTGCATCCACGACATGACAAACCACCTCAGGGACGAGAACCCGAGTGCAGCCGTGTGGCGGGTGACACCTCAGCAGCACACTAGTGGTGCTGAAGTTTTTTTTGGTGACTGGAGTGCCAACCAAACCCAAAATTTTCCTTGAGAACTGGAGGACCCACTTGCAAGGTTGGATGCAGATTAACCAGGATGAAGCAACTGCAGGTTAAGGGCCTTGCTCAAGGGGCCAACAGAGTAGAATCACTCCTGTCATTCACGGGATTCGATCCGACAACCTTCCGATTGCCAGCACAGAACCCTACCCATTACTTTGCCTATACTCCACTTCTGAGTAATAAGAACAAACATTATTTTAGTGAAGATTTAAAGGTATATCCCCCGTTTTATAAGGGGGGAAACATTAGTCTTTATGAGCAGAACCCTTGCCAACCTCTTGGATCTTCTGACTCCGCTCAAAAATGGCCTGAGCATCTTTGTCCCTCTCTGTGTCAAGCTCATACACAGCTGTGGCACCCATGTCCTCCGGGCCCTCGGGTTTCTAAAAAGGAGGGAGGGTGAAAACCGATTATAAAACACAACCACACAGGGGGGAAAAGTGCCTAGCAGGCAAAGCTGAGGGCATTTCCTGGTTTCTGGATATTAACACTCACAGCCGATCGGGTGGACTTGTACGCCACCATAACCTTCGCCTCCTTATCTTCCTCACTCTCACTGGAGCTCACCGCCTCCCTCTCTGTCCGCTTTGTCTGGATAAAGGGAAAAAGGCAACATGAAAATGACAGACAAGGCGGCTTCGGGACGCTTATGGGGCGCCTCCTCGGTACCTTCTGTATCATGGGGTTGGAGACGCTGGGCTTTTTCTCCCGTCTAACGACCCTGTTCCCCTCCTCATCGCTGTTGCTGCCTGGGAGGACCGACAACACTTCGGGGTGACGGGCAAATCATGCACTTCCAACTTAAATTCACAAATCTGCATTTTAAGTAATGCTTTGAAATTTACCAGTTTAAACAGCTAGATCAGATGTAAAGTCGTAAGCACGTCGGTTTAAATACTCAACGATAAAGCAGATAAAAACACGCAGTTACTAGATAGTAGCAACTTCAGATAAAGGACGCTGGCGAAATTAGCAATTGCTTTTCATAAAATTAGAAATATGATTAATTATTAATGGATATAATTGCAATATTCTTTAGAGTCGCATGATTCGCCCACGTGTGTTAAATCTAAAAACGTTACGTCATCCTAAAGCGTAAAGAGAGAAAAAATACCTTTATCACTGTCACTTGCTTTCCTCTTGCGAGCGGAAAACTTCTTGGTTGACTTCTTAAACAAAAACGTACATGTAGACTTCCCCTCCTGCGACTCCGCCATGTCTGCCGCCAGTCAATAACACACTGGTGCCAAAAGCGCCCGGCGATTACGACAGCGCCGCCTGGCGTCGGCAAACGACACGCCATCACGCTCTTCTTCGCTGCTTCGTATCCGTGACGGATCGTCTGCCGCCGCGGAGCGCTGCTGCCGCCTACAGGATGAGCAATGCAACATGCCAGCGCAGCATTGTGGCGTAATACGTCGCTCGGCTGAATTACTGGTTTTTCAACAAAATGACTGTGTTGATAGCGATTGAAAAAATGCCTACTTAATAAAGTATATAATATTAAAATATGAGCTATTTCACGTTGAATTCTATTTCTTTCACGTCTGCATGGTCAAATGATTATTAGTGCTCATAAAATACTAAGGAAATATAGGACAAGTTAGCTAAATGATTTAATTTCAAAACAATTGCATTAAAATTAGCCTACTTTGCAATGTCACCGAGCTACGATTTGTTAGGAAAACACAACAAACTCTGGCTTCTGCAGGTTACTATCAGCCTGTGCCTTTGCGACTGTCATCTACACCAATCTGCAGAAAAGTCCGTGGGGCGCAACGACAAAGTTCAGCCACAGTTCAATGTAAATGAAAAACGCGCAAACGCACACTGCGTATCTACGTAAGCATCAGTGCAATTCGTTGAGTCAGTTTGATTCATTTGTGTTTTGTTATACAAAACTTAATGCAATTAAATTAGTCTTTTATAGTCACCAAGTACTATATATAAAATATATTATTTCATACATATTATTATGCCAATATGATACAGATCATGTCGTTTGCCGATTGATTAAATAACAGCCATTCTGCAACTGGGGATTAACTTTGTCTCCGGACTCCACCTCCCATCCAACACCTCTCTTTCTTACCTTGTGCTCAAATAAGCCGAGTTTCCGTCGCGTGACAGGGTCCGCATCCCTAAGGTGCGGTTCCAAAATCATCAGGGATCGTGCTTGACTGTAGGAAGAGTTGAAACCAGCTTCGGTGGCTAATTTTACACTCTGTATACCTTATTCCCCCCCCCCTCAACAGTGGCATCAGTGGCATCGTCGTTCCTCCTGTCGGTAGCTGAGGTTTCATTTGAAGCGTTGCATCCGAAAGCCGCTGCAAGGGAGGAGTTGCGTGTCCTGGGATACCGGGGGCTCCCTGCCGGCACCGGATGGATTCGGGCTGTCTTCACTCAGCAATGGCTATGGGTCTGTCATCTAAAAAGGCATCTTCTCGGAGCGTTGCCGTGGAGCGCAAAAATCTCATCACAGTCTGCAGGTAATGCCCATGACGGCAGCATGCTTTCGGATAACATCGATGACAGAAGGGCAGACATTTATTATAGTGAGGACCTAGATCTGTGTTTTTAAATGATCCTACACGTTAGTTATTCCCGTGTATGCCCTGCTAGAGGGACATTTTTGGTAGCTAGCTAAGGGACTGGCTACCGAACATCTTATATGGTGTTGCAGAAATATGTATAACCGTGTTTAAATTATGTATGTTGATTTTTGCTGGAAAATTGGAGAAAGGGGAAAAACACCCTCTCTGCAAAAAAACATTTATATAAAATGTAGCACGCATAGGCCTAGTTAATTAGTAATGTAGGGAAATGCGCGTGATGAGCACTGTTTGTGGGTTATATTTACATAAACATTTATGTTTGGTTGCGCGATGATGAAACGCAGAAGGAATCTGCTTTGATGGTGGGTGGTGACGTGCGGTGCGCCTGCCCGCCGCTTCTTTGGACGCCTGCCCGTCCTCCCGATCTGCGCAGACCGCCTCGTCACGGCTGCTCTCTCCAGGCAGGCGTGTGCATCCGACCTATGTATCCCTTAACTAAACGGGAATGGTACTGGTTGTGCTGTTCCTGTTACAGCCGTCCTTCTGGGACAAGAACACAATCGGATCCCCTTGTTGACTGCTGCATTAGTAATTTAATAGATATATACGCTTTATTACTTCCGGGAGGAAATTTCTTTAATTCAATAATTGCTTAATCATCGCTTAATTAGGCTAAGCAGACACCTTTAGTTATGTATACTTACATGTGTCAATATATGGTAGTCCCATGAATAACGACACAGTAGGCTACTGAATAGCACATTGGTATGGCTTTATTTTTAGTGATTTCCCCCCTCCCAGTAACAAAACAATATAGCGAAATGGAGTAGAGACGTCATCGGCTACAAGAATACAGCATCTGTCATAGCACCAGTTTGGGCAGATGTTTGACACCTTTACACCGTGCACAGTGCTCAAAGCCAAGGCGTTTCTTTCATAGGGATGGGAAGAAAGCAATTGTTGTAACTTTTTAAATACCAGTCCTCTTTGGGGAGTTGTCAAGAATCTTTGCACATAATCTGTAGGGAGCGTTTTACTGGGAAAGACAGTGAACTAATTGTGCTCTGCTCATGGTAACGCCACTGAAGGGGACATCGTGGCTGATGTCATTTAACTCAGCGGCACTGCTCTTCAAATCTTTCTTACAAGCAGCATTGGTCGTAAGTGTTTTTTAAAAGACATGATTTCGATTTTATTTTTGCTGGATGCCATAACAGAGGATCGGGGAAGATACAAGTGGGCATGCCTTGATTTGTGAAGGGATTTAATGGTCTGCTCTTTCGGCGTCTCACAATGCCATTGCACAGATGAGATATCTGGCGCCAAATGAGATCCTGCGTTAGCCTATCTGGTCGCACACACAAGCATAAAAAGCACAGCACCTTTTCAGGAAAAGATTACAACACCATCAACAAAGTCAACCTTTTTTTTTTAGCAGCTCAAACAGACACAGAAAATGAATCTCGAACACAACACAGACACGCGTTTAAAAAACCTTATGACACAAGACTTAACAGACATTTAAAATAATTACGTTACTACGACATGAATAACACGCTGCATGTATATCCTGTTTTTTTTTTTTTGCTGCATTAGCAATGCTTAGCATTATATTATTGAATGATTCTAGCAGAACAACAAATATATATTATTCAGACATGTGCATAATCTGTGGGTTTCACAAACAATGGTAGCAGTCATTGGGATTTGGATGTAAAGTTACTTGTTGAACAGAAAATAATCTGTATGCTATACTCCTCACTGTGGCATTTATGCACCTGAAAATGGGCATTCAGTAGCAGGAGTTATCGGGCTCCTTGGCAGTGAATCTCTCTTCAGATGGACCGAGGTCCTGGTGTCGCCACCAGGCGGTCCGTGCATCTCCTTTCGGGGACGAAGAGACTCGCTTCCCGGCCGAGGGCGTGGTTTTTACGGCCGTCTTCTTCTTACGCTTTTACCGTTTATCTAAATTAGCCGATTATTATACTTTGACAGTTGATTCCCCGTCTTGTGTACAGTTCTGCCTCTGTCTATAACTGGCAGCTTCCTGGTGTATGAGATTTGCCCGATTACAGTAAATGTGTGAGGGTAACAGCACAAGCTCAAGCGTCAGTAGCTAAGGATGCGAAAACGATTACTTGGTATCTAAAACCACAATGAAGACGGGGAGCAACGTTGGCCTCCAGGCACACGGCGTCGGTTAGGTGTTAAATTCTCTACAGAGCATGACTCCCTGTGCTTCGTGTCTCAAGCATACATCAGCAGAATACAGCAAGCACTTCCCAGGCTCTGTTGAAGTAAGATGATGGCACTGACCTGAAGCACAGTATTTTCCTCTGTAGTCAAAGCAAAGGATCCTGAACATTTGACCCCACACTAATCACAAATTACAGACCAGGCTTAGATGGCACTTTGATCCCTTATCATATTCGGCAGTTGTGTTGTCCATCCTAGGTTGCATCGGTCGTTCTTACGCCCATCTGGTTGGTGGATCTAGTTAGCGTTTCGAGTTGCTGGGTTTCCCAAGTGAAAAGCTGGTCTTGTCTCTCGTGATTCTAGCTTTTCCCAAAGAGGTGGTGGTCTTGCCCCTGCTAAAGCTGGATTTCCCCATGGAGGAGGTGGTTCTGCCTCTTTTGATGGTGGTGTTTCCCATTGAGATGGTGGTGGTGTCCCTTGTCAGGGAGGAGTCCCCCATGGAGATGGCCGTTTTCCCTTGGGTGATGCCGGTGTTACCCATGGAGATGGCGAGCTTCCTGCAGTGTTACTCAGTTTTCTCTCAGTGCCAGCTTGCTGGGTCCTGCCACACCGCAGCCCCAGCCTGACAAAGGTCTGATCGCTGGAGAAGGGGAATCGGCGCCTTCTGTATTGTGGTTCATTTGCTGGACACTGAAACGCCCTCGCGAACAGGCCTGAGGCTAGATTCCATGTGTCCTGTAAATGGACAGAATCTGCCCACAAGTGTTACGGCATTTCGGGTGGGACAGTGGTCCAATTGTCTTGTTGCTATGGAAACAGCCTTGAATGGTTGAAGGAGACATTGTTGCACCCAAGGCGATTGGTAGTGACATCACTCCAGTTTTTTGGCACTGTTCCTGAATGTTTGCTATATTAAGAACTGGACCGAAGCAAGTGTGAGGTGCTTGTTTCTCGTGTCCTAATGTGATACTTTGGGATTTTGCACATAAATGGTTGTTTTTTTTTCCCCTCCATTTTTAATTTGCTGGACACCTGCAAGTTGCGTTGGACAAACTGTCTTATTGTTCTGTGATTTAGTTATTTATTACACACATATAAACTGTGACCTTGATGAAAGTCAATGAAAATGGATCTAGAAAATGTGCAAGATTGTGAAATAAATATGAAACTGAAGAGGTCCTTGCGTTCTATACACAGATGCATAGAGGATATATTTAAAGTATTATTGGATACTAAATGTATCTGATCTGAAATTGAAAAGTTACTACCTGTTTGGTGTCCTTCAAGAGTCTTTACCCTGGTGAATTAAATTTTTATGTATCATTCTGGGAATCTTTTGGATACCACCAAGATACGTTGTGGATGCCACCAAGATTTGTTTTGTAACCATTTTGCGTAGGAACCATTTACTACAAATACAGTAGGGTAGTGTTTCCCAAACAGGTCCTCGGAGCTGGGAGGGAGCAAAAACGTGGACTGTCTTGTAGGGAGCTGGGAGGTAGCAAAAACGTGGACTGTCTTGTAGGGAGCTGGGAGGGAGCAAAAACGTGAACCATGTGGGTCCCCGAAGACTGGGTTGGGAAACACAGCAGTCGTGTAACTATCTGTGGCTCCAGTGTGTTGGTTTGGTTGTGTGGTTATGATAATATGCACAGTCTCTACATGCTCAATCTAAAAAACATGTGAAATCAAGGATCAAAAAAACATTTTACTGTAAACAATAAAGGTATTGTTTTGGACTAGAGTATGTGTTGGTCTATATTAAAAAAATAATATCCAATTCGAGAGGTGGGTGTACATGTGTGGGGGGGGAGACACAGAGAGTCTGTGTGCTTGCAAATTTGTCTCAGGGGGCTTCAAACTCAGTTGCAATCTCTGAAATGTGAGGAATGGATTCCATATGTTCTATAGCAGTACAGTAGAACAGTTGTCCTGCTCCCCGGGGAACACTGTTGAATGGCCAATGGAGATATTGTTGCACACAAGACAATTGATAGTGACATCACTGCGATCTATGGCATTGTTCCCCCGCTGCTCTTATATGTTATGCAAGAGCAATACTTATACAATGTTCAGCTTTTTTTTTTAATGTGTCTTAGTATACGAGTCTCCGAGCTTATCTGATTTCATCTGGAGGATTGGTTTCTATTTAAAAAGCAAAGCATGGCTCCAAGACTAATTAATCCAGGCATGAACTCTTATAAAATCAAGTTTATTACAGAACCAGACTCACAACCTCCGACTGACGATACAAACCAGATTGATCAGTTAGAAAGACATGCAGACATATCACACAAGTCCTCAAATCTGATTCTAGGAATGGACTTGAATAATAATAATAATAATAATAATAATAATAATAATACATAAAGCATTTTGGTTATTTAAGGAAATTACAAAATCAAGGGAAGTGTAGGAGCTAGTATGAAGGCAGTTGTACAAGTTTGTACAAAAGAACATCTCAAACCTTATTATACAGGTGACATTTGTACACTGAATTTGTATACTGCCAATGTCAGTTGATTTTATGTGTTACTGTATAGGAATCTCCAGTTAATATTACCAGCTCCATCCATCAATGACTGACACTAATCCACTAGGGGGCATCAGAGTGGGGGCTGCAAACAACGCTAGGCTAGTTTTGCGTTATATTTATTCTGATGTCAACACACCTCACCCGAGAAGTAGCAGAAATGTTAGAGCATCACAAGTTAGTTTGTAGAGTTAGGTAAACCCTCACTGGGGTTCTATGCTACATGCATGCTGACATCATCAAAATGTACTCTGTTGTTGCAAAGTGTGTGCATTTTAGTACATCAATAAAATGTTCAGCTTGCCAATACCAGCACCATATCTGTACACCGAAGTTTCCTCCAGAATTAATGTCGTATTTCTAAGAATGCTTGAATAAGTTTGGTTTTGTTGTCCTTAAATTAACGACGAACCGTTTTTTGGATACTTTTTTGGAACTGGCACTCTAAGAGCATCGATCTCAATGCCAGACAACGCGCGTATCTCCAAAGCAATGACCCTCAAGGGCAAATGTATCCTAACGAATAATGGGCCCCTGCAGAGTCAGAGGCCAGCAGCTTACAGATCGCTAGCATTTCTTTATGAACTGTGATTGACCATTTCTTCACTTTGGAATGGGGAATGGAAGGTCATTAACATTCTTTGAACTCTTGTGACGTTTCCAAGGTAATGCTGTCATAGGCTTTGGCTGTAAACTCATGGCTCTTTGAGGAAAAACCACTCTTTAAGTCTGCAGTACTCACCACCATGTGAAGCTCCACATTTGGGGTGAATCTCAATGTACGTACTTGGCCGTAATTGTGTTCTCGTGTACCCATTTTATGTCATCTTCCATCGCCAAAGACCAATTCCAGTAGAACCGAAATGCCTGCTGTACAGAGGACGGCAAAAACCCCTGGATGTCGTTCTTGCCCAAAATATCAGGGATACGTCGGTTGCATCGTCACCGAAGACCAATCCCATGATTAATTGCACCCCTAGTTTGTTCTTAGATGGCAAGTTCGCAAGACTGGTCTTGCTAAGACCACAAGTACGGTCTTTGCCTTTTTGATACTGAGATTCACCCTTGGTCACGTGGAAGCATGTGGAGATGCTTATTTAGCTGAGTCTGACGAATGACAAGGGTGGAGTCAAGTTCATCCTGCGGTATTCAAACTCCACAAAGGAGCTCAAGACTACATAAGTTCATAACTTGAGCTGTTTCTCCAAGAACTACAAGTGAAGAAAGCACTAATCCCCTTCTTTGTGTGTACCTGGCATTCTGGAACCTCTTCTTTAAGGTTCTTTGAGGACCCCTACTATGCTTTTTAAGCTCCATTGAATGCTAATGTATCATCTGTTACAAGTGACTGTTCCATTGGTGTTCAATGGCTGTGATTTATCTCCTAAATAATGGCTGAGTCCCCAGGAATTGTCTCTAAGACCAACATCAGCAGTGTCTTTGTGTTGACAAGTGCTATAATGGGTCCTCTCAAGCTTTCTCTTGGGAGCAGCGCTGGAGTGTTTGTCTCTCTTTGGGACCAGAGCATTGAATCTATAAGGAAAATCTATAAGGAAAATCACCCTGACAAGGGCTATATATACAAGGTTTCATTACATACTGTGAACAGAAAATAAGGAGACTTGTAATAGGGTTTTCAACACCAGTTTTGTCATTTAACAAATAATAAAGCTTTGACTGGAATCCAGGGCCACATTTTGCACTCAGTCCTATTTTTTTGGGTTTTAACACAAAGTATTTGCAAACCTGTTAAAGAACTTTGTGGACAATGGAATTGCTCATTTTTATCTGAATCGGAGGGCAGGGCATATCCCAGAATCCCGTACTGGCGTTACCGACAGAACTATGACTCAGGTTTCACAATAGATCACCAGAGTAGATGAATCCATTAGTCTTCATCCTGACCTCATTATCTCCATATATAGGGAATATCTGACTGCTACAGAGTTAAATTCTACCTGAACAGCAGTTTAGATGGTGGAAGGCAGTCTAGTGAATAAGGCAGAAATTTTGCGGCAAAACATACATTTTCTGCCAGTATTGTTGATGGGATCATATATTATTATTTTTTTTTTTCTGGTGTTTTAAAGTACTATCAAATCCGATAACGACTAACCTGTTGCAGATTTCAAATTTTGGCAGATTAAAGATTTCACTGATTAGTTAAAATCACCTAAACCTGGTCTGTCCAACCAGGCTACTCTCAGACCTGTTTATGTCAGTTTTATCTCTGTTAATTTGGATCACCTACTACGTTTCTTAAATACTTAAATACAACATTACCAAATCTTTCGATCAACATCCTGTGAAACCTTGTCCCTAAATCACATGAGCAACCCAAGTCTGGTTTGCTTTTTCAGTAACACCACCTATAAACTATAAACACCTATAAACACTCTGGCCCTCCTGTTACTCCATCATCCTCCGTCACAAACGTACATTATCACAAAAACACTGCTTCACTTTATACTCCAGGGGAAACCTACTGAGAATGTGCACCCTCTCATTCGGCTTTTTCTTCCCCACGTGATCCAGGATTATGCGTCCTTGGTCCTCTGTGATGTCCAACTGTCTCGGGGTGTGAGTGCTGTCCACCCCAACTGCATATTCTGCTCTTTATCTTGTCCTGAGTCCATCTCTCTGGCGACGCCCTGTGGGTCGTGTTGGAGAAACATCTTGTTTATCTGCCCGTAGTTATAATGGCGACTCTCCAACAAAAAAAAAACAAAAACAAAACGAAAATAGTACATCTGTCCCTAGTAGGGCGGACTTCGGTGCAGGGGCAGTAACTCTGCTGTTGTGTTTTGGTAACCAGCCAACAGCCGTAGACAACATGGACAAACCCAGCTGATCCCACAGACTGTGCCAGCTGTAGGGAGAGAAGCTGTGTGGAGAGAAGTTGGGAAATTCGATGAGTATGTATTTCTCCAGTATTCCAGTACTGCCTACTCCTGAGCCTCTGAGTATGTATTTCTCCAGTATTCCAGTACTGCCTACTCCTGAGCCTCTGAGTATGTATCTCTCCAGTATTCCAATACTGCCTACTCCTGAGCCTCTGAGTATGTATTTCTCCAGTATTCCAATACTGCCTACTCCTGAGCCTCGGCGTTCAGTGGAAGCTCAGCCTAGCTGCACTTGTGCTTTGGAAATTCCTTGACAGTTTGTAATGCTAAAGCTATTTGCCTCACTTGTACATTGCTTTGATTCAGAGTCTGCGTCTAACAAATACTTTTGTTTAAAACATTTTTAGGCCCAAATTTGTGCCTGGAGGTTCTCAGCAGAGTGCAGGTATATACTGATATTGGTTTTTAAGGTACCAAAGAAAGACTAATTTTAATTTTTTTTAGTTGTTACCCAAAGGGACGAAAGCTTAATTATACTCTTATTACTGCGTCAAGGCCGCGAAACCATTTTTCACGGTGATTCTACCAAGCACTGAAGATGAGCTTCCACACTGAGCATTGCCCAGGGACATTACCCTGGTCATCAGTAAAGAAGTGTTATCATTTTGGATCAAACTCGAGGCTTACACTATTTACACATGTGCATACACAGGACAACACTTTCCTTTCGGAAATGAAATATTAACAGGTACGCAGATGTATGCATACGCTGCTTAATATAGAGAAATGCACAATTTTTCTAGGTAAAACTGCTGCTAATTTGCATATATTCACAGCCACAATGATTAGCGCATCAGACACATTTGTGAGGGATAAAAAGTACCTTTGCTATTAAATCCTGCCACATAATTGTAGGTGTGAGAAAAGACGGCATCACGTTGACATTCAGCGTGTGCTAACATTGCGTACCATTGCTCATTTTATTAATTTCGTCGTAAATAAGGCTTCGGCACTTTTTCCTTGTATGCAATTCAACAGAAGTCAACAAAAACAAGATTGTGTCACCAACCTGTTTCTTGGTGTGTTATGTAGCCAGTAGAGGGTCCAATCAGCCAATCAAACCCCTTCTTAAATTACGAATGAAACTCCCAGTATATGCGCCATTGAGTGTTACTGCCTCTGGTGATGATGTTTATGCCGACCGAGATGGCGGTCGTTCCCCTTGTGATGGTGACGTTGCGCACCGATACTGTGATCTTTCCTCTTCCAACTGTGCTTTTGCTCAGTACAAAAGAAGTATTGGCCCTGCTGATGGTGGTTTTGCTCATAGAGAAAGAGGTCTTGCCCCTGTTGACTACAGTTTTTTTCCTTAAAACACTGGACTTGCCCCTTGTGATGGTGGTTTTGCTTCTCAGGATGGTATCCTTGCCCCGGGTGAATGATGTCCTGCTCCTCTGGAGGGTAGTCTTGCCGCTGGGGACGGAGGTTTTGCTCTTCTCCTGGGACTTCTTGCCCCTTGGAGTGGAGGTCTGATCCATCTAGGCGGTGGTCCTGCGCTTGAAGATGGAAGCTTTGCCCAGAGAAGATGTGGTCTTGCCCCTTCGGAACGTATTTTTGCCGAATGAAATGGTGGTCGTTCCTCTCTTGATGGTTGACGTGCCCATGGAGAAGGTCGTCTTTCCTCTTTTGATGGAGGTGCTACCTAAGTTGATGGCGGTCTTTCCCTCAGTGATGCTGGTATTGCCCATCGCGCAGGGGGAAAATAGCCCTTCACATCACCTTAGGTTTCCCGTACAGTGCATCACCTGCAGCCGAATCCCCTGCTCTGCAGCCCTGCAGCCGCAACCTGAAGTAAATCAGATCGGCAGGCAAAGAGTGTGGGGCCCGTCTGCTGTTTTGCCGCATTTGTCGAGCAGCGAGACGTGATCCCGTAAATGCTTGGGATAGTTTCATGTGACCTAGAGTGGGCACAGAAACCCTTGGGGTTTTGTCGCCTACCGGATAGCACAGTGGGCCGATTGTCTTGTTGTCAGGGCAACAGCATTGGAGGGCTAAAGGCGACATTGTTGGACACAAGACCATTGTAGGTGACATCAGTTTGCCCCGTGGTGCTAATCTCCCTGTCTGAACTTGAAATTCCAGTCACTACTTATTTAGAGGATTGTTTACGTCTGTATTTATTTGCATATTTACCTTCCTCGTGGAGACTGGGGTAGGGGTCTCGGAAAGGCTGCCCCCTGCAGGATTGTTAGAGAAGGTGCCGAATTTGAGATGGCATGGTGATTCAGTGGTCAGTTCTGTGGCTTCCCACCTCCAGGGCTGCGGGTTCGATTCCTGTTCCTGGCTCTCTATGTATGGTGGTTGCATGTTCTCCTACTGTTTTCCCCTGCTTTCTCCTGCCCTGGACAGGAGGCCAGTCTCTACCGGGTGCCCTATGCATTCTGGGATTGCTTTCTAGCACACTGACACACTGTACTAATAACTAGATGATAAAAAGTTAAGAAAGATGGATGGATATATAATAATATATATATTTAAAATATATATAATAATATTGAATAATAAAAGTTTTTTTACCCCATATAGCATATTGGCGAACCTAAAACTAAAAACTACAATACTTAAACAATGACTTTCTTGAAACAGTGGCATTTACTGATATTATAAAAGAGTTAAACATAATTTAATGATCTTATATGTCTTCATATTTAAGCAAATATATTGCATCCATGTGACACCATGTCATTCTACAAAAATAAAACCACTTGCTAAGTGAACAGCGGTAGAGTTAACGCTATGCTGGACTGTCTACTTCATCAATGATGTACTCGATAATGAGAAGGTTTCCAGGAGCTCGTGTGTTTAACAGCGTATTGCATTTGGATGTGTCCTTCAGAGCATGGTGCCTACCTCTTCACCCAACAGGTTCTCCGTGAAGACTTTGCTGGAGAAGTACTCAGCAGAGCCCATCGATGACTCTTCAGAAGAGTTTGTCAACTTTGCCGCCATCTTGGAGCATATTCTCAGTCACCGCTTCAAAGGCAGCACAGCAGGTGATGTCACACCTGCACAGGTGTGCGGATTGTGTGGGGGGGGGGCTGTTTGCGATTTTGACTTGCAGGAGAGTCAGGGAAGTCCATTATTGGAGATGATAATTTTGTGCATTTTTTGACCAATCACATAAAAGTTTATTGGGTTTTTTTTAGGTTGTATATTTGCATTTACATGGCAAAGGACTGACTCTGAGACGTTGACTTTGAAATTCCACCAAGCTACACATTATCCAGAGTGTCATGTGTTTCCAGTGTTTGGACAGTCATGTTATTTTGGGCCAGGTCCGGGCAGCTGGTTCAGCCATGACGGGCAGCGCAGCTTCTGGGACTATATCCGCCTGGCATGCACCAAGGTCCAGAACAACTGCATCGCAAGCATCGAGAACATCGAGAACATCAGCACTTCACGAGCGAAGGCAAGGGTGGCCCTAGCTTGGGGGGGGGTGTGTGGTATGATGTGGTGGGGTGAGATGGGAGGGGAGGGGGACACACACGATCCAACGCATGCTTTGTGCTACGCACCAACCCCTCCGTCGCCACTAACCAGACCCCAGACATAGCGTAGCCCTATCCCGGGACAGTGGCCCTTTGTTCCGGAAAGACCCCATCATGGACTAAAGGACCAGTGTGGGAGGAAGCTGCCAACCCCGAACCCAGGTCCCCGTGTCGTGTGTCGCCAACTGGTGCCAGTCGCAGCGGACCAACACTCCCGCCCGGGGAGGTCAACAGTGGCACGGTTCACAGAGGCTGATGCAGCTGAAGCAACGTTTTTCCCGGGAAATTGGGGAAGCGATGGGACCGAGAGGAGGGATAGATGGGGCGGGGCGTCGTTGATTAACATGGGGGGGCTCGGAAAATATGCATTATTATAGAAGGGGGAATAAAAGGGATGCGGGAGTAGTCTTTGGAGGGGGCAGCAGCAATGATCGAAGTTCTGCCTCAAGTTTGCTGAATAGTGCCTCTTTCCTCCTGCAGGGCCGGGCCTGGGTTCGAGTGGCTCTGATGGAGAAGAGGCTGTCGGAGTATGTGGCCACCGCCCTGAGGGACACTCGGACGACCAGGTGACTTCCGCCTGACACCCGAGCTCTTGGACAGCGTCGGTCACACTGTACGGCATAGAGTTGCTAATCGCTCCCCAACGTCTGACCCGGAAGACCAGTGGTAGCGATGGGTGTTAGCATCAGCATTGTAACGGCTCCGCCCACTCTGCCCCATGTGATGCAGGCGGTTTTATGACGATGGCGCCATCATGCTGAGGGAGGAGGCCACGGTCCTCACGGGCATGTTGATCGGACTCAGCGCCATAGACTTCAGGTGAGAGACTGATAGCAGCCAACGGATCCTTCTCCCGCTTGAGCGTCTGGGTTCCGGCCACGTCTGCTCCCGTCGCAATTCACCTCGGACGCATTTACAGTTGTTGCGACTTCAGATAGCCTGCAGTGTAGGGTTTTTAGTCTCACTCTGCCTAAATGCAATTTTCATTAAAATATATCACTATAGATATGTTGTACCTTTTACTGCAGGAATGAAATTTAGGCATCATGCATCTATGTCAGACTTAATATAGTCGTTACGGGTTAATAAAGCCTGCAATTGGACTAAAGGTTAAAGATGCAAGAGTCATATGCACAGTGAACAGTAGCTCCACTATGCAATGAAAATCTTACTCTATGTCCTTCCGGTAAACACAAGCTAAAAACGTGTAATTCAAATGTGCTCTAGATGATTTTTTTTAGCCATGTCAAAATGGGTTGGTATGACAGACCTACATATCTTCGATGGCACTGAAATGCAACTAGAAAGCAATTAGAAATATAAAGCAGGTTCTGTACCCATCTTTTATTCAAGAAGATAATACAGTCCTGCCAAAACAGCAAAACCTCATTAAATCTCCTGAAAAGTTCCTTCCAGTTCCTCAGTGTGGCCTTACACCTGCAGTTATTTGTGTTAAATAGTAGTCAAGCATGACTCTTACAAAAACACCATGTGTGTCGACTTCCTCATTCCTTCACTTAAAGTTCAGCACATTTGCTTAATTCCCCTCAACCGAGGAGATGTTGTTATTGTTGGTTATATGTTGACGTTGTTGCTTGTTGTTGATGGTGTTGTTTGATGCTGATGGTGTTGTTTGATGATGTTTGTTTGTTGTTGTTGTTGTTGTTGTTGTTATTGTTGTGGTGGATTTCCTGGTCTCATTAACTCCCCATCACCTGCCGTTCCACAGCTTCTGCCTGAAAGGGGAGGTGTTGGACGGGAAGTCCAGGGCTGTGATCGACTACACGCCGTACCTGAAGTTCACGCAGAGGTGACATTTGCTGACCCATTTCTGAGTGGGTCCTCGTGATACACAGGGACAGCAGATGGTTGTGGTTTTTGGGTCATTTCCCAGCAGAGGATTGGGGGCCTGTATCACAAAGCCGGATTTCTCGCTTAGCCAGATGACTTTTCGGATTTAAGGTACCCCAGTTTAAATGGACTTAAATGGACTTTAAATGGATTGCTTAAATTTGGCTCAGGCTACCTTATATCCGACAAGTTATCCGGCTAAACAAGAGATTCAGCTTCGTGATACAGGCCCCTGCTGGTGTACCCACAAGTCCTTTAAACCGAAATGTCACTACTGGTGTTCAGCGTTAATGGATATAAATGGGCAGCCAAGCATCATGGGGTCTTTCTGTGACTATGGTATTGGGTATGACGGCGGAATTGGAGCATCGAGGACAGTGAGCTCTCTTTTGCTCCAGCTACGACTACCTGAGCGATGAGGATGACCGGCACAGCGTGGACAGCAGTGCCAGCGAGGAGAGCCTGCCAGAGCACCCGTACATCCCGCTGGTCACCGACGAGGAGAGCTGGAGCACCAAGTGTCGCAGGATGGAGCACAAGTTCAAGATCGTATACGCCCAGAAGGTCGAGACTGCTACATCTTCAGTGTGACTGTTCTGAACGAACTGGGCCTGACATGCCTGTGCTGTCTCTCTCCTGTGCATGACTGTGCTGTCTCCCTCCTGTGCATGACTGTGCTGTCTCCCTCTTGTGCATGACTGTGCTGTCTCCCTCCTGTGCATGACTGTGCTGTACTACATAACATGCCTTGTTTCTTGCTGCATCTGACTGTATCGAATTATAGTACTTCCTCAATCCTGCACAAAACTGTGTAGCACTTTATCTCATTGTCTCCTCTATGTAACTGTGCCATGCTACAGTATATGTTGTCCTGTGTGTGACTGTGCCTGTCTGTGCTCTAATATGCAGTACTGTGCAAAAGTCTGAGGAAGTCAAAGATATTGTTTAAGTGTATATTTGCTCAGGAGAAAACAAACAATTTAACATTAGAACATAATTAAGACTGCAAATTAAATAAATATTAACAAGAATTTCTTCTGTGCTCCAAAAACTTCCTGATATCTTGCTGGACGGCTAGATGAACGCCGCTTCAGTTCCCAAATCCCTCCTCAGGGGCACCTCAGCCATTCCATAATTTATATAACTCAGTGAGGTATTGGTTAACCTAACGGTGTGTGCTAATGGTACTAAGCTAATACTGGGGTGGCTTTAGGAGCGATTTTCCAATGGCTAAGCTGATACACTTTGACAGACATCAAATAATAATGAAGATCATATAAACATTGTTTCCTTTGACTGCCTGAGTCTTTTGTGCAGTACTGTGTAACTTCTCCCCGTCGCACAGCAGTATCTCTTAGATGTTTCTATTTGATGTCCATATCTGAATGTGCCATATTTAGATGTCTTGCATATTGATATTCTGTTTGTTACTGCTTCTTGCATTGCGACCAGCAAAATCGAAAAATGTCACCTCGGTGTATGACTCACGGATCGTATGGGCGGAGGTGACGGGTTTGACTGCGGGATTGACTTTCACAGAGCTACCTGGAGGAGCTGGTGCGTTTGCGGGAGACGCAGCTGAAGAACCTGGAGACGGAGAACAAGCGGCTGGGGGTGAGGCTGGACGAGCTGCTGCAGCAGAGCCAGCAGGAGAAGAAGGAACTGGAAGACATTGTATTGGAACTGCAGGCCCAGCTGTGAGTTGGGGGTTACCCAGAATGCATTGCGAAGGGCACACCCACTGCCCTATTATGAAAAACATAAATATTCCCTTAATATAGTGGCTTTTTTATAAACATGGACACAGACCTGCATAGACATGAACACGCCAACAATAGCACTAGTAACAGGCTCTGCCGCCCACGTGCTCATACTTGCATATGAGAGCGTGCCGCCCCCTCGCGCCGTAGCGGCCGCTAACCCCGCCGCACTCCCTGTGTTCGCCACAGGGCGGCGCTGATCCCCTGCGACTCCAGCCACCTGGCCAAGGAGCTGCCCCTCTCGCTGGTCAATCAGTGGCATCGACTTCAGAGCCAGAACAATCAGGAGAATGTCAAGCTCTTCCGCAGGTGTGTCTTCAGGCCAGAGACTCTATCTGTGCATAACCCTGGGCTGGGGGGCTGGGGCTCAAAATTGTGCAAGTTGGTAATAAAATTGAGTAGTAGTGTTCTCAACCCAGTCCGCAGGAGACCCACCCCAAGGCAGTCCACATTTTGCTCTCTCCCTGTTCCCAGCCAATCAAGAACACTGAATACCTGGTACAGGTGTGTGTTGATTGGCTGGGAGCTGGGAGAGACCAAAAATGCAGACTGTGTGGAGGGGGGTCCCCAAGGACTGGGCTTAAGAAAGACTGGATTAGTGATACCAACAGCAAAGCCAGAACGTGCCATCTGTAAATTTTGAGAGAAGCTCTCAATTTGGTTTTGTTGTGGTGATGTTTTTTGCTAGTAGCAGAGAGCTTGCCGTTGGCACATGTTAGCGGCTATAAGCCCCTGATAGCCACCCTGCCTGCTGGGGAAGCAAGCTGGGCTCACTGCCTGCGGGTCTGTGCTGCTCTGGCTTCGGCAGGAGGAGCTTCCACAGTCTGGACCAGCTGTCCACCGAGACGAGCCTGAATTCTGATTCCCAGAAGACTGATGGGCCCCAGAATGGTGATGTGTGGTGCTCCACAGGTACCGACACACACACACACACACACACACACACACACACACAGAGGTTAGTAATTATATCTTTGTGGGGACTCTCCATTCATTTCTATGGGGAAAACTCAAATCCCAACATGACGACCTTAACCCGTACCCAGCCCTAACCTTAACTATAAGTAACCAAACTAAATACTTTTGGCATTTTTACTTTTTTATTGCATTCACAGATCTCTGTGAGAGCTGAGCATCTCTGTATCACTGTAGTTTCCCATTTCCAGCCCTGGAACCTCGGGGGCTGCACAGTTCATTTGTGCTGGACCTGATGTAAAACCATTATGGTCCATCGAGCCGCAGGGACTGGAGTTGAGAGAAAAATGTCCTGCACTGCAGCATTTGCTCGTGTTCCCTTTCTCCCAGGCAAAGACTACACGCCCTCCATGCTTGGCCTGTGTGGGTCTTTGGCTTCCCTTCCCAGCTGCAAGTCCCTCGCAAGCCTCAAGTCCAGTGAATGCCTGGTGAACATCAGCACAGAGGACAGCCCTGCTCTCTCTCCCAGCTAGGGGGCGCCAAATCGCACACTTAACCACAGTCAGGTCTGAATGTGTCGAGGACTTGGGGGTGAATGAAAGTCCCCCTCCCCCTTTCCTCCCACTGTCTGAACATTTTGTCTTCTAATGGTCCCAAGCACCAGTTCTGAAAAGAAAATAAATTGAAGGGCAGACAGATGTTGCAGGACAAATTGTCTCCCATTTCTTGTTTAGCCCTCTCCCTATGCGATGACATCATCTGATCCAGTACACAGTAGTGTCATAGTACCATATTAAACTCTCCCACACCAACATACATTCATATTCTTCAGGGCCAGTATTCATAAGGCGATACCATGAACCTACTATATCTATTCTCAATATGTGTCTAGTGGCCACTATCTTTTCATGTCACATTGTATCCCAGATAACATGGACTGGGCTAATTTTTTTTGCCAGATATTTGGCAGCCAGTTTCAGCATCAGCTTGGTGTTACTCTGACTGAGTGATCGACGAAATTATAGCCATTGATTATTTGACTGCATGTCTGATATTTCCCTTCATACTGGAACATTGATGTGTTTCATCATAGTCATATCCTGTTATTAATATACAAATATATGCAGATGTACAGTTATGTCACCATGGATGTGTATATGAACACCTGCAGCTTCCAGTTCTGTGTAATGATCTTATTTTATCATTTATGTTGTTTAGTTCATACATATATTTTTTCTTAGCCCTAGTTATGATGTATTTATTCCTGGAGAATGGGGTGTCCTTGTCGTTCTGAATGAATAATGCTCCCTTTTCATTGCCACAATGTTGCGCCTGCGTTCACAACGTAAAATAAAGTAACAAACAGCAGTGGTAAATTAAAGTTCATTTCAAGTTTAACTCGAGTCAATTTAAAAATACGCCACTGTCAAAATGCATTTGTGTGATTTGTGTAAAATATAGATCGTAAAATTCCCTCCTATGTTATGCCTCAGATTAAGATTGTTCATGTTCGTTTGGGCGTCACTTCCTCGCAGATTTAATTGTTGCAATTTTCCAGGGTCTTCACCGTCCTGCAAGTCAGAAGGTGACCTTCTCTGTCAGTGAGGCTGTAACTCCTCCATCACATTTCATCAGCTGGGTTTTGTTTGGTGTTATAAACAAAGACATGAATGGCACATAATATGGGATTTAAATGAATTTGACAACCGTATATTTGACTATTTTGTCTCGAATGCAGTAGCGACTGATTTTAATTTTGGATATACTGCCCCCTAGTGACATTCTTACTAAACATACGGTGACCTGAATTTATGTCTGCTCCTAATGGGGTTTAGGTCTTCTGTGCGGGTTTGTGTGGGTGTTTCTCAGACCACACATTACTTTTAAGGCCGGGTATGTTTTTCACAAGTGATTTCTGTTAGCAGAATGCTGACTGCCATTGTTTGCACCACACAGGATGCCCGTATTAAAGCAAATAACTGCATGGTTTAGGTCACAGCTACAGTCCAAGACGTCCAGAAAAGCGTACTTGACTAAAATCTTCATTTAATAACTAGCTATCGGAAACAGGGAACTGCGCAATAAAGATTTTGGAAGGTTTAATAGAACCTTTCTGGAATTTAATTGTGCATACATCTAAAGTTCGAGTTCATCTGAGGAAGTAAAAAAATATCCTCGCAGCAATATAGACGACAACTTTTAAGGGAAAAACTGGTAACTGAGTATTTACGTAGCTGATTGCTGTATCAGCAAATGTATTTCACTTCTCGTTCTTTTACTGTAGCAGTCCGGATTGAGCGCTTTGCTCATGGATGCCGCAGCACCCCAACCCCTGAACTCGAAGCTGAAACTGGTGATTTCGGGGTGCACTGAAATTTATGCAGGCTCAGACACATATGCAGATTGCATACGTGGGTTCCGTGAAATGGGGAAAGAAACCTGCCCATGCATAAACCTCCTCGCATCTCAAAGCCACCGCCTTCAGCTGTGCACCGCGTCGCGTCCGGCCGCGCGCCGCCACGCATCGGTCCCGCACTCCAACTATAATCCGTTTACCGAAAGGCGCTGCATTCCGCGCAGATACAAATGCACATACAAAACGGAACTAGCGATAGGTATTTTCTCTTTTTAAGAATGCATATTCGACATTTTGTAATAAGCTAACATCTCTATAGCGGTCATCTTATCAGACTATTATTATGATTTTTTCAAAATAAAGATGTAAATTTGTCTAAAAGTCTCATACGCCGATCACTTTCTCTGTTTTTTAGACCAGGGCTATCCTCCTTCATAAAAGCTATCTTCTCAGGGTGCTGCGTTACATTCCTTTTACCAAATGATTTATGCATGGCGCACCAGGTGAACTTATAGATACTATAAGAATAACATTTTCATTAAACAAATTATGGTCCGAAACGGAGAGAAATCTATAATATACTGCAATTGAGCTACTGAGTCCCTGTACATGTATATTAATCGCCTGATTTAAAAAAGTAAAAAACATAATATAAATATTGAACAAGTAATAGTTCTGTTCTATATAACAAATCCCCTTAAAACAGTCTCATAATAACCTTAAACAAGCCTTCCGCATTCAGTTGTTTTACAAAACCCGATCATTTGCATGTATGTGTACGTTCATCAGATAAAAGCTGACAAGTAACTTAAAAATCATCCCACGCCTAAAAAAAAAAAACTTAACTGTGCAGCAGCCCGTCCGAACTAAAGACAGATTGCGAACAAAGTTGGAGGGGCGTGTCTGACTGGGGGGTGGTTCTCTCTGAGATTGATTGATCTTGGACGAATGGACTTGAAGTAGAGCTTCCGATTAACCAATAAAATCGTGGATTTCATTTTGCCCCGCCCTTTTCAAGTAAAGTGGACGGCGGCAGCATGCGGCTGTTGTCAGTTTTCTGCAGAGAGTTACCAGGCTTTGGGGTGCAAAGCGAAAAGTAGTTTATAAGTTTGTAGGACAGCAGTTAGGAAGTGGTATTGTAGTCTCACCGTTACTACACTGGCTGCATGATGTAGGAGGAACGGGCCCTGACCCATTTTAACACTAATCCGGACATTTCTTTTCCGGAACGAAACATCTTAAAACCGTAGTTATCGCCACAAAAGAAACCGGCTAGTTAGCATAGCTTCTATTAACTGCTAATGTGGAAAAGACGGTTGTTATTGGTGCAGGAAACTTAATGCACGTACCTAACAAAGTGCATTTTGGGTGGTTGACACAGGGAGACGTATAATATATTTAAATCCCAGGCAGTCAAAAATATATATTTTTTAGAAATTTGTGAGCCGGCTGTGGAATAGGTTGTTTGCAGGCACCTCTACCAAGGATGTCGTGCCGAGCTGGGATGGTCCGGGGCGGCAGTTCGGCTCTGCAGCCGCTGAGAGCCACCGTGCACTTCCAGCTTCGGAGCGGGACGCAGCTGCGCATCCGAGATGCCGGGCCAGGTAAAATGTCAAAGGGCTGGGGGAGCCCAGGACACCGGAAAAAACAGTAAATTGCAAGACCAGAAAAGGAGGAGTCACATAAAAGGGAGCATTTACAAGTTTTTATGTCAACTATTTGTACGTTAATTCGTGTAGGCATCTCTATATAAGATGCCATCACAAGTGGTTACCACGCAGGTACAATGACATGAAGTGATGATCTGATAAGAATGATCTCGACACTAATCCTTTTGCACAGCATGCGGCTCGCACAGCTTTGTAAGGCTGCTTATCATTCTTTCACGTATTTGCTGATGCGGCGCCACAAAACTAGCGCACGGAGCATCATGCCATTAACCCGTGAATTGTGAGGGCAACTTGGGTTGCAGATCCTCCATCTGCGAAATCATGCCACAGGTTGAAGCTTTAGTATAAGGTATTACAGTCGTCATTCATTCATGTAAGTTATTATTATTTTATTTTATTTTTTGGGGGGGGTTATTCAGTGAAAGATGAAAGAGGTGTTTATTTCCTTGTGTTTTCCTCAGTGATTTTACTCGATGAAGAAGCTGAAACCAGGTGTTTTAACTGCCAAAATACAAGTTGTTATACACATTCATCCAAGTCCTGCCTAATCTGTTGAGGAGCCGAGTCCAAAAAATAGGCTTTGTTTCTATGACCTTCTGCTTTAGTTGATGTGTCCCCTTCGTACATGCGCTGAAGCGATGGCTGGCTCAGTCACTTGTGTAATATGAGGAATCCAGCGGGCCACCCGCTGGCTGCCGGCCCGTCACCTGTTGTCTCGATGGCCACCTAAGGAAGGTGGCACGGTAGAAAACAGTCACATCCGCACCTCCAGCTGCCTGCATCTCTGCCCTTGCCAGTTAAATTCCCACGGGGCAGCGAATATTTTCTTTCCTCCTCATTGTTTTTCTCCAAACAGCCGGTGATTTCTAGCGGTTACGCGGGTTAGGGTTATATTAAAAATGGAATATATCAGCATGTTTGAACCGTGATCTTGTTCTGGTTAGTATTTTCACCCTATAGTAATGCCTCAACCTGATCTTTACATATTTACCTCGGAAACTCTTGATTGTAGCAGATTACCTTGAGTTACTGGTTCTGTTTTTCTCTTATGGTTCTTAAGCTGAGAAGACCAAGTCACGCCCGCCAAAGCCCAGCATTCGACGGACCCTGTCCCTTGACACCCTGATTATGCCATACCTTCAGGGCCACTGGCCAAAGGAACCCGACTACAGCAGCTCCTGTGTGAATGACAAGGCCACGCAGGTGAGAGCTGACGTACCCTCTTGCAGGTCCCATGGGTTGGCATTGGCCTGCTTTCCATATCTGTCTCAAAGTGTGGACACAACACATCAAGCTGTAAATGATCAGACTGGCCCTTCAGAGGTGAAATAGATTATACTGTGGAATGAAAACTTGTTGTGACCAGCAGGTGGCATAGTGGTTTAAGTACATGGGTTTGAAGGTGAAGGTTGCTGGTCAACCCCTGAGGGAGGTAGAGAATCGGACACATTCCAGTAAAGTCCAGCTGTATGGCTGAATAAATGTTGCAGGTTGTTTTGGGTAAAATCTTTGGCAAAACTAGTGTGTAAACAATTTCTAACTCAATTGTTTTTACTACTTAAAAACCTATGGAACTTGGTGCCCTTTTGAGAGAAAAATTATGCTGCAATTTTTCCATCCGTCTCCCTGAGAAAGGTAAACATTAAAAAAAAATTCTAAACTCATTCTAGATTTCTGTTCGTATATTCTGCTCAAAATGTTTTTAAATTTCACGACCGTATATGGAAGTGATTTTTGCTTGTTTTTTTTTCTTTTTTTTAAAGCTTGTGTGTGTGAGTCTGTTAATTACTCAGATATCTTTTAGGCTCTGGCTGAGGGCCATGGGCAACTGTGCCCCTAGCTTGCTGTATATATTACCCATCCGCCCTGCCTCACACATTCAGTTCCACCCCCTGCCAGGCCAGACGGATTTCTCAGTGAACAATCTGCAACCCGCTATGCATGGCGGCCACTAGGTGTCGCTGTTTATTCCATTCCATTCATTGTACTGACCTACATCAACTGTATGTAACGCCCCCCCCCCCCCCCTAAGTCTGCTAAGGCTCGTATCAGACTCTGAAACATTAGGAGCTGTCATCCAGAACTTTCCACCCTTGTGCTGTAGTGCAGTGGGTCTTTTTATAGCGCCTGTCCTGTGATGGGCTGGTCGTCACAGGCAGGGACTGTCTGTGTGGCTAGGGTGTGAACCACGTGTCCTAGAAACGCATCCTCTGGGTTGAGAAGCTGGTTGGGCTGTTCGTTGTCCCCGCCCAAGTCCAGTGCTGATCTGTCTTCAACGGTGCTTCTCCGGGACGATACAGGCAGTGAGTTTTTTTTTTTTAGGGGTGCTGGTTTGTGACCAGGGAGAGAACTGTGGATGGAGGTGAGTTTTTGGGGCATTTCAAGGGCGGTGTCTGGAATTACATTTACTACGTCTGATGGGGGCGGGGCAGCGGGGAGTGAACATGAGCCGTTTGAGGACTGTCCAAGCGTAGGACCTTCAGGCAGTGGAGGTGAGTCCAGGGTGCTGGGCAACACCCTGATGAGGCAGAGGGGGGATGTTGTTCCCATGACTACACGCCCATCTCTATTCTGTGGTTTCCATGGCGCCGCCGCCTTGCTAACGTCCGCCCCTGACTGCCGGGAAGCATCACTCGGTTCATCGGCGTCAGTTTCCGTTGGAGACTGGAAGCCACACTGAGCAACAGGTGGATGGTTTGCATAACAGAACTTCTTCAGATGCATAATACGGTCGTGGTGACGCCCATCTGGATTGAGGCTGGCCACCTGGGGGGGTCTTTTCTCTCTGGCCACCATGCTTATTTTTTTTCCCTTCATTTAGAAGGACTCCAAGATCTACACTCACTAGTTTGCTGTGGAGCTCCAGTGTGTAGAAGATCTTGTTGGTGTCAGCATTCTTTATGGAAATATTTTGTGTGTCTTGAAGCAACTCATTACCTCACCGTGTCCCTTTATATCAGATGCCACCACAGGATTAGTTTCGGAACATTTTCAGCGCTTCTGAGCTCCCTGTGATTGGCTGGATCTTGTGGTGTAGCTTCCTGTGATTGGCTGGATCTTGTGAGGTGGCTTCCTGTGATTGGCTGGATCTTGTGGTCGTCACACCCAAGCTTTCTGACTGGCTGGTCTCCCTGTTGCAGACGCCCAGCTCCTGGTCGGAGGAATGCCGGGGTCGGAGAGGAGGTGGTGGACACAAGCGCTCTGCGTCGTGGGGCAGTGCAGAGCACCTCAGGGAGGTATGGACCATCCTACGGCACAGGAAGGTGCTGTTGTAACACTCCTTAACCCCACCCCAAGAAGAGGTGACTGATACTGCCCCCCCCCCATTACAGATCTCAAACCTCAAACACCAGCTGCAGAAGCGATCCAAGCGTGCCTCCAGGGGGGGTCCTGATAGGGATCACCACCAGCTGCACTCTGCCAGGGGCCCTGTACCAGGGGCCACACAGGTACTTCTCTTTTTTGGGGGGGGGAGGGGCTTCACCTGGATATTGTCAGGGCTAAGAAATGCAGTGCTTATTCATCTTGGGCTGAATTTATGAACAAGAGGCAGGTTGTATGATTGGGTGGGGGGGCGGGGGGTGGTGGTTCTGGACAACTCCTGGGCACAGCCAGTTTCCGCAAACACACCAGTAATTAAAACCAGTCAATCTGTGTAGTAGATCCACAGTCTCGGCGCCTGACCTGCAACTCCTCCACAGATTTCCCCCCACCTACCCCTCAGCCGGATCACCCCCCGCCTCCGCCACAGCGTCGAGGGTCTCAACCTGGAGCTGGAGGGGGTCTTTGTGTCAGAGGAGCCCGAAGATCAGCGCTCTGTAAGTTTCACACCCACCAGCTCCCTCCCTACGGGCAGTGGGTTTGGAATCTGTGCCCGTGCCCTAATTTGACATCCCTCCTGTGTGGAACATAACGCTTGGGTACTTTTCCGGTAGGTTCTAGACGTTCCCGATGGACGCAGGGCACCCATGCCTATGCAGAGATGCAGCAGTGGGTCTCAGAGCGACCCTTCCCCCTCCCCCCACCTCCTGGGAGATACTCGTGAGTTACTCGGTCGCTATTTCTCCTCCCGACCCCCAAGCTGACCTTTTGACCGTAAGATGTGCCTTTTCTCCCCCCGGCAGCATTGTGCCCATCGCCTTCGCCACCCCCAGTGGGCACGGGCTCGCCCCCCTTCCTTCATCCCAAAAAGACCTACGCGTTCCAGAGGGAGCCGCCCGAGGGCTGTGAGAGAGTGACAGTCTGCGAGGAGGCCCCGTAAGTCAGTCCGTGTTCAGCGCCACACGTGTCTGCGCATGATAACTGGCTGCACGAAGCACACTGAAATCTGTATCTGCGGCCAAGTGTTGCAGACTGATATCAATGTTGCATAATGCTGCCCCCTAGTGGTACTCTCAACATCTGCATGCGCAATCGTAGCGTAATCAACAGTGTGGAGGATGAGACAGTCAGGGACAGTAAAGTCCTCCCAGGAAGGCATTATGTCAGAAAAGCGTTAGAGTTAGACTTCCTGTGCTCCATTTTTGGGGTAATTTTCCAGAATTTCCAGATTTTACAATTTAGTGCTGTAGAATTTAATGCTGTCGCCCTTAAATCGGCAGAGCTGAAAAACACGCTGATGAACACAAAGCCTGTCCCTAAAGAAGCCTGGCTCATTTGCTTACACATCTCAGTTTCTGGAGGATTTGAGAGTCAGTTAGGGGGGGATTTCTACGAATTCCACCCCAATATTCAGAAGTACCAAAATAACCCAGCTGGTTTGGTAGTTTAGGTACTGGATGTTTTGGTACTGGTACTCGACCGGAAGTCAATGGAAAAGGGAAAGTACCAAAAGTATGGTGCCTTGTGCAATGGAAACATGCCCTTTAAGCTTGTGATTTGGGTTTTGGGTTTAGGCTTGGGCTTAGGGTTGTCTGCCATCCCCCTGAAATGGGGAATTGGGGGAGGATTTGTAAGCCCAGCTAGATGGGCTCTTTCTGGGAGGCTTTTCTGGCCATCCGCAGTCTTTGGGATTGCACACCTCTGGCTCTCCTGCTTAGTCGTTCTCTCCTCCACTTGCTTCCCACCAGGTCTCCTGCTGTTGCCCAGCTGTTCCTCCACTCGTGTCCCGACCCCAACAAAGTGAACTTCACGCCCCACAGGGGCTCGGCATTCTGCCGCGTCAGCCTCCTGAAGCCCCTGCTGCCCTCTGTGGACCTCCTGTTCCGCGGCCTGTCCGTATCGCCCGTCGCGAGCCGGGCCCCAGCCGACCCCGGAGTGGCCGGAAGCGTGGGCACCTTCCCCGACCCTGCTTGCACCACTGCCGTGTGACCCAGGAGGAGCCCCCCCCCCCCCCCCGGGAGGGAGTATCCAATGAATGTGTTCATGGGAATGCAGCCAGCAAGGGGTCAGCAGCATTGGATCAGCACAGTGCAATGCCTGGAAGGGCCAAAGGTCAGCTTGGGATCGGCTCCTGCAGATGCATCATGGAAAAAAGTAACAAGACTCAGTTACAACATAGCTGTTGCTGTGCCAGGTTCTGAAGCAGCCCACCATGCCTTCTGCGTACTAAAGGTGCTCAACAGCTTACGGTATCATATCATATCAAATCAACAGCAGAGAATGTATCCCATTTCTGATACCCACGTGTCTTAATTGGTGGCTTGGCGAGAAACGAGAGAGTTCTCCATTTGTCCCTTGTTTTTTGGAAATGCGTGCTTTGTTTATGGCGGAGGATTTTCACTTCTTGGATTTTTCATTTCAGTCTGTTCCTGGCTGGTTACTCAAATCTATCCCCTGTAGAGCTGCCACTAAAGTGGGAATATTTCTTGCCTGTAAAACCCAGTCGCCTTACACTACTATATAAGTGAATATGCGCAGTAGGGAGGGATGGAGGATGTTCCTAGCTGCTTCTTCGTAGCGCGTTTACAGGCTCCTACGTGGGACTGAATGTGTCCTTCAGAAGAAACTCATGCCTGAAGGCATGTGGATGAGATGTTGGATTTCCTCAGGCTTCCTGACCCCTCACTGCTGGTCCCCAGTCAGTGTGTTTGCTGGTCGGCCTGCTAGTGGATTTTTTTCTAGATGATAAAAATCTTTCCTGTGTTGAACTTATGATGGTTGACAGTTCACGGTTTTAAACATTTAAATGATGGTTGGGCACAATATTTTATATAGCAGGTGCCTTTCTGTTTAGTTGGATGTATATTGCCTAATCACATTTGATCCGTAGCTGATTTGACTGAAGATGGAATTTGTCATAATCTAAAGGTTAAACATTGACTGAATGTCATGTCATCTGATAGAGAAGTGGCATGACCAGTCCAAACACTTTTAAGTGTCACAAAGCTTGTAGTGAGTTTTTTTCTTCTTTAACCTGTTCAACCAGCCTCGCAGCTTAACCCACAGAAACTGACTTATGTGTGCTTTCTTCCATTATGTAATGCTGAATACTCTTTTTGTGTGTGTGTGTGTGTGTGTGTGTGTGTGTGTGTGTGTGTGTGTGTTTTTGTTTTGGTAGGTTATACAGTGGATGAGAGCACCGCTGGTTCTAATGTTAAACGATAGCTTTAAGTATTAAAAAAAAAAAAACGAATACAGAATTGTATTGAACATGATTTTTCTAAGTTTTCTTAAGAATGATTGATAGGGAAATGAACACAACACAGCTTGAGTTCACGGAGAACTAATGTCATATACCCTACAAAGATGTTTTGTTTACGGGCGGATTAATTTACTTGCATTAAATTATACTGCCACCACACTTTCCCTTTTTCCCTGTGTGTTTCTGTATTCCATTGGCTATATTTTGTCTAAGACTGCATTACCAATCTATAGAGCCGGTGTTCTGTCGAGTTGAGCTACTTTTTCGAGGTAGGCTACCGTAGTGCTAATCGATAGCCCTAACCCTAACCCCCAAAAAAACCCTAGAACCCTTACCCTAACCCCAGAACGGTGGAACTGCACATGCGCAGAAAGGCTCGATGGTATGTCTCGATAGGTAGCTCAACTCGTCAGAACACCGGCACATGTTTTTGACTAGGGGGTGTGCCTAACACCGAATGTCACGCCCATTGCCTAAACCCAGCCTTTAATACTGCCCCAAGTTACCTTATTTAGACCAATGAGCAACATCCACATCCTCCGACGAAAAATTCAGCGACTATTTGCTCTGAGGACCTTCAGCTTGTCGAGGTGGCCGTGTACAATGCCTGAACTAAAATCACAGCCCACAGTCCTTAGAAAACAGGTGATGCTTTAAATAGTGGTATCCCGTTAAGGGTGTAAAAATAAAACTGATTGCCAAAATACTTGCTTTCGACACAGATTTTTTGGGTCTGGGAAATCAAGCGTCCAGAACAATCTCTTCTGCGATGTGTATGTTAAACTTATAAAATGTGAACGCTTGGATCTAATTTCAAGTTGGGCGCTCGTTAGTAGCTTGTCAATACGGCGATATGTATTAAAGTAGGTATACAATGTGCACTGCACTACTCCATGCAGGCGAACGTGAAGGGATGCCACACGCTTTGGAAATGGGTCCTGACTGGTTTAAGGGTGACGTCGCTTTACGCTACATGAAAACAGGTCCTTTCCCCGGGAAGAAAGCTAGAGCCTGGGGAACACTAAAGGGGAATATAGTGGCCCAAGGGGGAAGGGGAAGAGCCGCACACCTGGAATACCAGTTACGTGATTTCGGGTGCATTAAAACGAGGCTCGAGGCGTGATTGTGAATCACAACAGCTTATCAAATATATATATATATCCCGCTTCATTCGAATAGGCTGACATTTACATATCCGTGCGGGGGACCAGTTAGTAAGGTGCTTATATTTTAGCGACGGGGACCTTCAAGTGGACCCAATCTGAAACCCCGTGTGGGGTGACGGTGCCACCATTTCCGGGATCGCGTCAGTGGTGAGAGTGGAGCGGGACGGGGGGCTGAGGAGCGCGGGCAGCGGGACTGGTTCGGTGTCCATAGACGGGCTGCTGGAGGACGGCATGGCCGCGGGGAAAGCAAGCGGCAAGGCGTCGCTGCTTCAGAACGAGCGAGTTCGGCTCGGCGTTTGCTTCCTAGGAGTCTTCGTTTGTTACTTCTATTACGGGATACTGCAGGAGACCATGTAAGTCGTCCGTCCACCTCCATTCGTTGCGGTATAATGATAATGCGGTGGCGGGGTGAAATGTCAGTGAGTCCGCCGAATGGATCACTGTGGCTTACCTCTGTCCTTTATGTGACTGGTCTTTATAACGACACCTGAGTAGGAAGTTTGTATTAAAGTAAGAAAGGATTTGCAAGATGGACCAGTCTATGGTGCATGATTTGGTGACAGTCTTGTGCTTCGGTCAGAGCTGAGTTTGATCACTCGGTTCTGACATAACGGGAGCACCGTCCGGCTGTTTTGGGTAACTGCCCTACATTTTAAAGTTTATTTACTGAGATCCCTAAGGATCCACTGTGAAAAACGCCTGATGATGAATTTGTTCTTAACTGGTCGAATAAGAGCTGATGACATCGATATTGTTCCCTTTTGTTCGATCGCAGTCTGTCTCTCACCCTGATTATTGATCTGTCCAGTACTAGGGGCGACTACAGCTACGGGAACAACAAGGAGAAGTTCAGATTCGCCACCACCTTGGTCTTCATCCAGTGCATAATCAATGCTATCTTTGCCAAGATATGTAAGTAAACTGCTCCTTCCCCAACGAGGAATGCGAGTCGGGCCTGGTCTCTCTCTAGTTCCGGTATGTTCTTCTGGCTCAATGTTATCGTTTTAGGGATAGTTCTTCAAAGGACATTTTTGCCGGTTGCTCTTGAGAAACGAAACATTCTAACTAAAAAACAGGTTACAGACCCTGTGTGTACAGGCAAGGCCGTAATTATGTATTGGGGGGACATGTCCCCCCAGTATTCAGATGTGCTCACAATGTCGCCCCCCTCCAATATTTTATAAATACAGCCTTGGTCCCCCACAATGTTTGACTCCATGGCAACGGCCTTGGTTACAGGAACGCTGGTCCGTTTAATTGCAGTCTTTGGCTTCCCACACACTCCCTACTGTAATTATTATGGGGTGTGTGTTTCCTGCAGCAAGGCAGCATCTCTTTTCCTTTACCTCATAGTCCGCTCTGTTTGTCACATGACATCCGTTGGGTTTTACTCTCATTCTCTGTGCAACAATACTATTTTGCATCTCTTTCTTGCGCATACTTTGTGAGTGTTTGACACAGGCCCACCCTTATCTGTTTTAGGTATTTTTTTTGCATTGTCTTCCAACTTTTAAATGTTTTTTTTGTGCTCCTATGAAAACTTTCACCAACTTTTCCCTGGTTAATGCCTGTATTTCTCATGTCTCGACAATGAGGTTCCGTGTTGAGCGCTTTGTGGAGTACAATGGCCCCTCCGTCCTTAGTGACATAAACAGAATTGTATTCTGTCCTTTTTTTTTTTTCTTTTTTAGTGATCCATTTCTTCGAGGGCTCCAAAACCGACCACACCCAGAGCTGGCTCTACGGAGCGTGTTCTCTCTCATACCTGGGAGCCATGGTGTCCAGTAACTCCGCCCTGCTGTACGTCAACTATCCCACCCAGGTCTGCTTGCTGCACCTGCCACACATACCGTCTCGGGGGGGGGGGGGGGTGGTGCGGTGTGTTGGCTTATTCCTGACCATTCTGCTGGCTTAATTGGGCTAATCTGCTATTAATTGCCTGTCTCGGTATTTCCTTGGAATTACTGGAGTCTGGTGCATCACCTGGATATTTGCTGTCTTGCAGTTCGAGTTGGCATGGTAACCACTCCACCTAGATTCACAGTTTGATTAAAAATCAGTTCAGCCAACTGGATTCGCAGTCAGTTACAGGTTTTAAGGGGTATTTGCTTCGTGTCCCTTCAGTAACTTTTCTTTTGTGTGTGTGTGTGTGTGTGTGTGTGTGTGTGTGTGTGTGTGTGTGTGTGTTGCCCCCCACCCACTCCCTACCCGTCTGCTAACATATTTGGGGAACACTCTTTCCAGATATTGCATAAGTGCATCATTGTGTCAGTAACAGAGCGATGGTGTATTTGTGTGAACGCAGTCGTCCAGGAGCTCAGTTAATCGCTGCCCTGGTGTCTCCCTGAACCAGCTTGGCTATGTATCTGTGCCCCACCCCCCCAGTCTTCAGTTCCCCACCTTTGGTTATACCCATAGGCTTTCTGTGTGGGGGGCCTGACTCTCTTCTTTCTCTCCCCCCACCCACCCCCCTCAGGTGCTGGGGAAGTCCTGTAAGCCCATCCCAGGTAGGGACCATGAGAACATGAACACATGCACCCACACACCCAATTAGCGTGTCCGCTGGGGTTTCTCAGGCACCCTCATGACCCTAACCCAGCAGAATCCAGTTTCTTATGGATCAGAATTGATTTATAATTCAAATTTTAAAAAATC